CCTGCTCCGGTATACAATGTATTGCTAAACAAATTATTTGAAAATAACTATATAGCTGGGAGAGTTCATTAGGCAAGTTTTCAGCCACCTGCCCAGAAAACTGGTTCTCCCCCAAAAAAGGCAGCAGCACAAGTTTCAGTAATGTAGTGATGGAACTCAGCCAGCGCTTTACCTTATTCAGCAATAACAAATCTATAAAATTGTCCACATACACTATTAAAGTTCATTTTACTTCATCTAAAATAAGGTGAGATGACATAATCATATTAACATATGTTCATTCTCGTTTGTGCTCACTCGCCAATGTGTCTTGCTTTATTTTATTTATATAAATGTATAGTTTCTAATAAATGACTGCCAAAAAAAGTCCTGCCTTGAGTAGTGTTACAGTAGCAGCAAACCTACAATGTTATATAATGACATCAAGCCAAGTGAATTTCCCTGATCCCACATCCAGATAGATTTAACTTGTCATCTCTAAAACTACACTTCCTACCTGCAGTCTATTCTGTCTGAGTCCTTAGCAGAATTCATGCTCTTACTGGAGCTATACTTGCAAAGGTAGGAGGAGGAAAGTATCCAGAAAAAGTAGCCAGGCTGCTTGAATGACGTGGCATTGAGCCCTGAATAATTCTTCTTTTGTTTAAAGATTCTTTTGTTGTACTCTGTAACATTTAAGTCGAGAGAAATTTGTATGCAAAGTAAAGATAGCAGTCATACAAATAGCAGAGAGAGGGGAGTCTTGCTGGGTGTAGGGGCCTTGTTCTTGGTTTAGTTTTGGATATAAAATTGCTGTTTTTAGCCAATGCAATAATCACAGTCCACTCTTCTTTAAAGGTTTCTGTACACTGAAATGAAAAAAAAGATACTAAAATGCACAAGACAAATGAGGACAAATATTGGAGCAGGTTAGATTAACACATTCTAGGAAGGTTTAGGCAGTGATGTTCCTATCTTGAGCAGTAGGTTTGACTAGATGACCTTCTGAGGTCTCTACCAGCCCCACTTTTTGTATCTCTTTCCAAAAGTGGCTAGGTATTTGTGACTAGAATTTGATGCCCCTTGTGAAGGGACTTAACTCTTAGAAAAATGCCCCAAAATCAGGACCTAAAAATATTTTAAGAATAAACTAATTTTCTATTCTAGCAAGTTTTCCTGCTCTTCATCTAGGGTACAGAACTTTGTACTGAAAGTGCAAAGGGAACTTCCTAACCTTGTGAGTGGGGCTGTGGTGTGTGGAGATTTTTTTTTAACTTGCTTTTTTTCTTATTTTAGGAAATCTTTATACAAGGCAACCTAATTATTTTAGGAACGGGCTTTAATCATAGCCTGTCAGTACCAATTCTCTTTGAAGAAACCTTTTATAATGAAAAAGAAGAGAGCTTCAGCACACTGTGTATAGCTCATCCATTGGAAGAAACTGAAAGCTTAGGTGTGTACAGAAATGTCAGGAAGATGCTGACATCTTGGTTTGTGCAGCTACTGGGACAGACTGGTGGGGGGGTGGAGTTTTAAGTAGCTAGTGCACTGTAAATTGACATACTGATTATCTTGTGTAGACAATCCTCAAGTGAAGTAAAATAAATCGACTTTTAAATTATGCTACATAGAATATTATTAATAACCCACCTTCTCTCCAATCACCCTGATTATCTTTTCTTTCCTGTACTTTTGCACTTTCTAGGATGAGATGCTATTTCAAAGATATTGAAAAATTTTTCTTCCCCATTGAAAAGATTCAGGTTTTCCAGGATATGAGATATTGCCAGGCAGAATTATTTATTTTTTTTTTTTTCCAGTGGCTAGGGCTACTCCTATTGTCCCTTTATATATTCTTTGGAAATTAAATTGCGGGGGAGAAGAGTATTTATAGTGGATCTCAATAATAAATGGCAATCTTCTTTGACTAGACTCGGGACCGAACAGATGCCCACAGTTATTCTGGCTGGACATGGACTTTCCATTCCAAGGGCTAAAAGATGTTGCCCAGTCTGTCTAGGAGTTGTGGAAGATACTATTCACTATGTTTTAGAATGTTCTTTCTATAATGGTACAAGGAGAACCTATTTATTACTGTTCTTGCAGAAACTCATGCATTTTTCAAACAAATTAATCTTTTATAGCAAACGGATCCAAATTTAGTAAACGATCTTGCAATTTTTGCTTATAAGGCTGAGGTGATTGGTTAAATATCCATTATTACTAATATGAGTGATACATTTTAAAATTAGATTTGATTGTCTCAACTTTGGATATTTGCACAAACATTACAGATTCGTGTCTTGATTTACTACTATATTTATATTAATATTTTTCTGTTGGTGGGTTCTATTTTTAGTATAATATTTGTAGCTTGGTTACTTTTGTTTGAGCTTATTTATATTATGGTCGTATGTGTTATGTTGTTCATTTTTGGGAGCATGACATTTAGCCAGAATCCTTAATAAATTGAACTTAAATTGAGGGGGGGGGGGAAAAAAAAAAAATCAACATTACTTTTTAATTTCTGATCTGATGGGTCAACAGAGGGCTTTATTGCAATCATCCACTTTAAAGTCATACCTCTTAATTTAGATTAACTTTCCAGTTTGTCTCTACCAACAAGCCTGATGTAGTCAACCACCTTAAAATAAAAAAGCTGTAATTACTGTAAATTTGTAAAGTACTAACTTGTAGAAGAAGAAAAACTGAATGTGGGGTGTAGGTTGTAGCCGTGTTGGTCTAAGGACATAGGCTGTCAAGGTTCTTTTGGGTAAATAAAAGGTATTGCATTTACCCAAAGAATCTTTCAGTCTGCAAACTGAATGTTGTGTACTAACACCTAGTTTTCATTTCAGAAGAAGCTACAACATCATCAAGTTCCTATTCCCTGAAAAATATTGAGGATGTGAGAGACTTCTTAGGAAGACATTCTGAAAGATTTGACAAATACATAGCATCTTTCCATAGAACTTCTAAAGAACATGAAAGAAAAAGTCTACGACACTACATAGTCAGTATCTTGCTTTTATAACTCTAGAACTTTAATTAAATGTCTAAATCAAGGTAACTTTTTAGTTTTTTAGATTGACAAGGAGAGCTTTGGGAACAAACTTACTCATAAATAGAATTGTGAAAGTGGGAGAGGGTTTAGCTGTGAAGGATTATGGTGTCTCGCTTTATTTTAGATAAGGTAAAATGCACTTTAGTAGTGCAGATGGACAGTCCTATAGATTTGTTATTGCTGAATAAGGTAAACAGCTGACTTAATTCCATCACTGCATTACTGAAACCTGTGCTGCCTTTTTTAGGATTCTGTTAATGCACTTTATACCAAATGCCTCCAGCATCTTCTGCGGGATTCTCACTTGGTAAGTACTGGTTCAGTAAATATATACTGTATAAATGTACTGATCAAGTGATGAGCAGTTATTTACATCAACTTCATGTATAATTTTCCTGATGCTTTAGAGGATGCTTGCAAAGCAGGAACCTCAGATGAATATGATTAAACAAGCAGTTGAAGTAAGTATCTGAAACTGAACAAAAACAGCATTGGGCTGCTATTATAAATATTGTGTATGTCTTAATCGGTGGCTTTTTCTACAGATGTATGTACACCATGATGTTTATGATCTGATCTTCAAATATGTGGGAACTATTGAGGCAAGCGAGGTAGGCTTATTCAACACAACTAATACTAGTCAACAAAGCAGCTGGTCAAACTTGTGCAGCTTCTAAAATGTGTTTGTTTTCCCCTGTCCCTACTGGTTAGGATGCAGCCTTTAATAAAATTACGAGAAGCCTACAAGATCTTCAGCAAAAAGATATGGGAGTTAAGCCTGAATTTAGGTGAGTTATCCAATGAGAGATTTCCAAATGAATTAAGTTTAATTGGATTTTTCAGCCCAAAAGCAACCCTTCATCCCTTTTCTGGGAAAGGTGACGGTGTCTGCACTACCCTTTGAGCGTCTTCTTTCCAAAGGAAGCACTTGGAAACTAGTCATTTAGTGCTTGGTTAACTTGTTACTTCCAGTAGCTTTATGCTTTTCTTTCTTGTAAAAGCTGTGAACAAATCAAGTTTAAAATTTTTGAAGGAAGCTGCATGACACTGTTGCTTCAGCTCACTTTAGACATGTGGATTCCATTCTCCATATCCCACTACTCCCCTCCCCTTGTGCTCTAGAATACAAGTAATTGCACATGCATTTGAAGAGTGAACTTCCTAATTTGGATTTTGTACTTTCTTTTGAAAAAATGTTTTAGTTTCAATATACCACGTGCAAAGCGCGAATTGGGTCAGCTGAACAAATGCACTTCCCCACAACAGAAGTTGCTCTGTCTGCGAAAAGTGGTGCAAATCATTATGCAGTCTCCTAGCCAAAGAGGTTGGTATCAGTAACACATTTTCATGCTTGCACTCTGCCATCCTGAAAGCTTTTCACACGTTCTTGCTGTTTTTTGTTCTTTTTTTAAACAACTTCAAAAAAAAATTTTTTTTTTTTTACACCTATAAGTATTGTTAACAGGCAGAACAGAACCTCAAAGTAGTAAACCTTGGATACCTAAGTTCTTGTGACATCACTGGAAAGAAATCTGGGCTAGAGTTTTACAGAAGTGAAGCACTCCTACGCTGGAATGTCTTTCTAAAATGGAGGAAAACTTTTTCCCTGTGGGATAAGTAATCCATCACCCCAAGTTGCTACCCTGAACTTATTGGTTCTATTAAAGGCAGATGACTGCGATCTTATACAGAAAATGCACCCCCAAATGTTCAGTTGACAATGAAACTTCTTAAATTTTAAGGGGGGTTTGGGGTGCGTTTGAGAAATGCTTTGTCCCAGTATACCATGGTTCCTCCCTAAATTGTCAAAGGCTGGGATAGTTAAATATTAGATTTAAGGAAGGCCATGGTTCCTATGTAGATGAAGTGGTTGAAAATAAGAATTTTTATTTTTATTAAGAGAGCAAGGGTGGGGGAATGACTATTTTGCACTCTTGTGGTTTTTTCCTCTCTGCTGTGAAAGTTACTTTACAGGAAAGCTTGTAGGTTGGGGACAGGCTCTGGCTGTCTTGGTAATTTTGAATATGATGGAACTACTTGAGCTCTGTCTTGCCTTCTCTTCTGTGATTTAGGTTTGGAGAACTACTGCATTGTTAATGAGAGCCTTTTTGGGTCATCTGCTAGAAATATCACCCCCCTGGTTTAGATACCTGAAAAATGGCCTTTTTCTTTTTTGACACAGTGGAGTTAATATTTAACACACTTTAGTCTGACTTCTGATCTTGGCTAATTGTGGCTTAATGCTTCCTTTTTTGCAAATTCTTCTTTCCTTTCAGTTAATATGGAGACTGTGTGTGCAGATGACCTTCTCTCTGTCTTGCTGTATCTGCTTGTAAAAACGGAGATACCAAACTGGTATGTAACTGTCTGCTTTCACCACAGAACTGCAATTTAGAGAAATACATTGCTGTTGAAACAAGAAATAATATAAGTGGCTACATTCTGCTTTTGCCCTGTAATGTGTAAGAAGAACGGTATAGCTTTAACCCTGAATTAAATGGCACTAATGTTGTAGTAATTTTTTTAGTTGGGTTGTATTGCTTGCAGAAGCATGCAGGCCTAAGTAACATAACAGTTGACTTGCACTTGCAAAGCCAGTAGCTTTCCTCCCTGTATTAGGGTGCACCCCCAGGGTAGTCATGTCACCCTCATGGTGGCTATGTAGCGCCCATCTGCCTACCCTGGCTCCCTAATCTGGTTTCTCTCCTGTCTGCCACACCTTGATGTTATAAATTAATATATTTAGGAGGCTACCTTTGAGCCACCAAAGTCTAGTTGTGGGTGTCTTGCTTTTCTCCTTCCTTCACCCAATCACTAGTCTGACTTGGCAGTACAAGAGGCCTGCCTTTTGCGCTTACCCTCTCCCTCTATCCTTGGGTGGGGCCTTGGTTCTGTTAGACTCCAGCCTGCCTGAGTTTAGTCAGGGGCCCCCAGCTCATCTGGGCCTCTGCCATCTGCCCCTCCCGCTGTCCCCCTCCCCCAAACAGCCAAGAAAATAGGAAAAGAATAAACGAAGAAACACAGAGAGAAATTTGCACGGTGCTGGGCACTCTGCTCTGCAGCCTCCATACGTCTCCTCACAGTCGTCCTGGTCTACTAACAACATGAACAGAAATGAGGAAAAGTAGACCCCAGTTAGGTTAACATGGGTGGTTTTCAGGGTGCACCAGCCTCCCCCTTCGACCCCTCCTGGGCTTATGTAAACAGTCCCCTGGATTCCCAGAGGCTCCTTCTGGGTTAACGTAAACAGTTCTTGGTTCTGTGGATGCCTACCTCTCCAGATCCTTCCCGAGTTAACACCAAGAGTCCCCTTCCCCCAGTGCTTCCCATACATGCATGCACTCACTACTTTTTTTCCTGGCAGGGACTCCTCAGGCAGCAGCTCCTCTTGCCAGGTTTGCATTTGTTCTGTTCTTCTGGAGGACTCCATTCTTCTCGGCCCCAGGGACTAGTTCTCTACACATACACCCCCTGCCTCCCCCTTCTGCTCTGCAAGGAAACTTATACCCCAGTCAGCCCTGCTTCCTTGATCAGCTGGCTGGGCTTCCTGCCCCAGGTATAGCTAATCTCCCCTTCCTTCTCACTGCTGTGTTTTGCAGCCAGCTGTTTGCAAACTAGGCTCTGTAGGCATGAATTTGTAGCCTAGTGTCAGCCATGCCTCAGGAGGCTTCTGCTCTCATTTGCAGCTGGCAGCTTGCCTCTTCCTGCTCAGCTGAGTGTCTTTTTCTGGCAGCTGGGACCTGTCTCCCTGGCTGCTTTGGCAGGGCTTTTCCTGCTATAAGTGATTCTCCACTTCCCCCTGAGGCTGTAAAAGTTCTGGCTTTAAAGGGGCTTTCTTGTTTGTTTGTCATTTATGCCTTGATGCTCCTTTTTTTTTTTTTTTTTTTCCCCTCATGGGTCAGGGCCCCTGGTTACAACTTCCCCCTTGTAAAGTGGTTAAGGTACTTGTCCATAGCCAAGTACTTTCCAGAAACACTTCATAGTCACAACTTTGCTACCAGAAGTAGGTGACTTATTTTGAAGTCTCAATTCTGGAAGTGGTGAAGAGAACTTTTCCCCTAGCCCTTAAAGAAATAACAGAAAGCTTACTTCACTTTCCTCCTCTTGTTGTCTAGACTAAATCTTCTTTTTAATAGCTCTTTCACATGTTGAACATTAATTCTAATCCTGACAATTGCTGTTTCTGTCCCATGTGGACTTGTCACAACACAACTTCTCTACTTTGGTTCCCAGGTGCAAGGAGACATTAAATGAACAGGTTTGGTAGAGGGAAAGTTCCTGGTATAGAGGTATTGGCATGAGTTGGGATCTACCTCAATTCATTACTCCTGTCTCGGCATCTAAAACCAACCCGTGCTTACCAGCTATATGGATTAATCTTTGGGTGTTGAACAGTTGGTGGGAATGAGTATCTTGAGGGTTAATGTGGCATAAATGTACTGTTTTTTGCCATTGTGGTACCATTTAACTTTCTAATGACTTAGTCCAGCATTGCAAAAATTATAAATCAAAGGTTTAAATGTATTTGAAATGTGATAATTACGTTGTCATGTCCTCTGTTATCCTGGATATGAATTTGGACAGACTTTTTTTTTTTCCTTTAGCTGGCTTTTTATAATTCACTTACTTTTTTTTGAGCAGATATGACTTGGCCAACTTGTGATCATGGAAGCTGTGTCCATACTAACTTCTAGAAGTGCTTATACCAGGCACAATTTTGTTGTTAATCCCATGGCTTTAAGGAGTGCTCATAGGCCAGTAAAAGGAAATCGGCCCTTGATTTGGGGTTTAGCCCACTTTTGCCCAAGTTTCAAACTTCTAAAATTTGCCTGTAATATGACCCAATATTATTCTGCCTCTTTCATGTGAAAAACCTTGAGGCTACTTCTGTTAAGGGGTTCTGTCTCCTATAGACCAGAAGAGATGTAGCAGCCATATGTACTCCTGGGGGCTACCTTCATGTGCTGAAGGAATGTGCATTGTTTTCCAACTCTGCTACATTTTTCTACTTTAATTCAGGGATGAGGTGGTAGTGAAATTTTAACAGTAAGCCCCTCTACATATACATGATCACTTATAAAGAATTACACTATCATATTTTTTTATTTTAGGATGGCAAACTTGAGCTACATCAAAAACTTCAGGTTTTGCAGTTCGGCGAAGGATGAATTGGGATACTGTCTGACCTCAGTTGAGGCTGCAATAGAATATATCCGACAAGGAAACCTCTCCGACAGACCAGCAGTAAGATATTTGACTGTCTTTTAAAGTACTTTTATCTGCAACCATGTATCCCTGACGGATGGGATCTGCTTCACATAGTATCCCTGTGAGAATAGGGAGTTAAGCATTGGCTTCATTTGCAAGATGAGAAGGGAGCTAAGGTCACTGCATTCCCCCACTTGGGAGAGGAAGGAAGTTCATGTCAGCCAGGGCCTGACCTTGAGATATAGAGAAATTCAGTACAAAACTGGGGTTCTTTACTTCCCTAGGCATAAATTTGGCCTAATGTTAATGATGAAACAGTAAACTCCTTTAGAGGTGAGATTTGAAATCTCACCCAAAAGGTGACACTTCAAAACCCAGAGTCCCTTCACCTTTGCCTCTTGGATGGTGTTTGTTCCTGAAGTACACTTCTGAAAAGAATAGGGATCTAATATCCTAATCTCCAACCCCCTTGTTTATAGTCAGTTGCATAGTAGCTGGTGCTGTACTTACTAAATCACTAAACTACTTTACTTTTACAATGCATCTTCTGCATAATCCTAGGACACTATGGGCCCCTAGTAGATTAATGTTGCTGTCTGAGACTAAATTAGCTTGTTTGTTGGTAAAAAGCTTTTTGGTAGGAATGAATTGATCTTCAATTCTTTGTCTGTTCAAGCACTGCCTAATCTTGTGTCTAGAAAACTTAATGGTGTTCTCTCTGGTTGGTAACAGAAAAACAACATAATGAATCCACAAGATGGGAAAGTGCATGAGGAGTAAACAAATTAATTATAGTATAAGTATAACCTGTACATCAGCTTGATGGGGAGGGAACAAGCTAACATGGCATATTTACACAAGATGCTGACTGCATGGTAGTGTCACAGCATAGACAGTGCTAATACACTACTGTGTTGTATTATTGGGCTACTACAAAGTAGCATCCCCTAAAAGACAACTTTTTAATACAAGTACTAAATAAATGTGCAGTAATGACTTCAGTGGTATCTCGTGTAGGCCAGCTCCATGGCAGCAGCATTTTCAGGATATTTTTTCAAAGTAAAACTCATTTGTCCTCTTGGAGTACCTCCTTATGTTGCTCTTTGCACATTGTTTTCAGAGTCAATGCAATAGTACCAAATTTTGTGGTAAGCTTTTTTTTGAGAGCCTATTTTAAAGCCTTTGCCTAAAGCTTACAAATTAACAATGATATGAATTTCATCACATTTATTTGCAATGCATAATGTATTAGTTAAACTTTGTGATACTAGCTTGACTTAACCTAGGGGTAATAATACTTTGTGATGCTGGATAGTAGAGGGGTTTTGGGTTAGTGTGTTTTTTATCACTTGCTCTTAATTCTTAACTTACCAGGGACTGAGAGTGCTGTAGGTACCATGAATTAATTTCACAGTGGGTGGGCTTGCCTTCTGCTGATTAGATCAAATCCCTATAGTTAAGGGTGGTATTTGATGAGACTTCAGAAGCTTCCGTGGTTAAGAGGGCCCCCTGAAGCTTATGTAATGTAAAGATCCATCTCACAGTCTACATGTAATTAAGACTAGGCCCTAACTATTTTTATCACACTTTCATGTATCAAGATGGAGAAGCTTACAAAGAGAGATGTCATGCATAATATCTGATGCTTTTAAAACTAACAAGAGTTTCAAGGGTTGGGGTATGTGAGTTTGCATTGTCTGCTTTCTGCAATCTGCTGTTTGTTGGATCCTCGAAACATGTTTTGGAGTATCTACTTCTGCAAAACCTAGGTGTTCCCGGTCTGACCTGGAAACTAACTGATGTGAATGGGACCAGAGAGAATTCAACACGTCTCAGTCTGACTGCAAAGCACTGACGTCTGGATCATGGCCTGATTTAATGGCAAAATGTGCAGAGCTTGGGCTGGAAGAAATCCAGGGTGTAATCTTAAAACAGCTGTTTGTAGTAACTTCAAAATGATTTTTAGTATTTTTTTATAGTAACTTTCAGTGATAATCTTTCCACAAATCTGTGGCACTTGGATCTGTTTGTATATTTAAAAAAGTCATGCTCTTTATGTAAAGAGAATATGGTATCTCTATGCTGTTGTATTGAATCCTTCTAAAAGAAATAAAGTGTTTAGTCCTCTAAAAGAGGATGTGCAGATTAGTTTTAATTTTAGACTTCTAACAAGCTTGAAGATCTACTTAATATTCCCCGTGTAGGAGTAGCAGTGGCTTCAGCTCATCCCAGTTGAAGTGTGTACAGTTCTGAATTCCCTTTATGAAATGGGAGGGGTGTGTGTAGAGGGGGGAGCCATGTAGTGTGTTCTTCCCTCTCTTCTGAGAGAGGGTGACCTGAGTTGAAACACAATAGCCTTCTTTTTTAAAAAGGCCTTGCATCAGTTTTAAAAATCAACAAATCCCTCCTACCTTCCTTGAAACCTGTTGCCTCCTTGAACCTCTGGTGTGATAACCTTGTTTATATGTAGGAGATTTTATTAAAACTCTCTCTAACCAACCTAGTACTAACACCATTTCTTCAGATCCCAATCTCTCTTCTGAGAAGAAACTAATTGGTTCTTCTAGAGATCCAAATTGGACATGAATAATGCTTCTGGAACAAAAATACTAGAATGGTGCAGACCATAAAGGCACTGGTGGCTCTTTTACAATTTTTCAATGAGGTGTTTTTAATCCAGATTCTCCATCCCCATCCCCTTCCTTGGCTGGGAAAAATATTCTGAGGTCCTACACTAACTTTTAGGCAAAGTCTGAGAGCAACTGAATCAGCTTCAGTCCAGTAGAGAACTGGCCTGTCTCTTCCTTACTTGCCTAGTGTTCCTTCTTCTTCTACTCCTCTTCACACCCCCCCCCCCCCCCCCCCCCCCCCCCCCCGCATTGGGAAGCAAGCAAAGAGTAGGGGCTTCACATTTTGGGAGGGGGGGAGATGGGACTCTGTGGTCACCTTATAAACAGAATCCAGTCCTAATGAAGTGTAAGTCCTACATGTGCCTTCACTGCAGTTGAGCAGTGTGACCTGGTAGTGGCAGTTAAAAAGCTCATCTGTACTTGGACAGAGATGGAAAGCTAGAAAATACCAGAATTCTGGGTTTGGGAGTGACAGCTTTTCTCCCTGATGCAGGAAATAAGGCTAACTATGCATGAGGAATCTTTTTTTTTTTTTTTCCCTGGTAGGTAGAGATTCAGACTGAATCTCTACCTAGCTTCCTTGCATTAAAAGTAGCTGAAGACAGGCCCTGCTTGCATGCTGAGCAGTATGCACTCTGCCCATGGGTAAGGGAGTTAGAAACTGGTGTACATAATAGCCACTTCATTGTTTCTGAACAGCAGAGCAGAAATCTCTCCTGCTTCTCTACCCCTTCTACCAGTGAAAGGGGAGATGAGGCATTTGTGCACAAGGGATCCCTCCTACAGTGGTATTGCAAGTCTCATGAGGACATGGCAACTGAATAATACTCAAAGGATGGATTTGCTAGCGTCTACAAATAATGCATTGCAATTCTCTCTGGCAGTACTTCCTGCTACTGAGACAGATTTTTGGCTCTTTGTCCCTGAGCCCGGTAACCTTGCCAGCCCAGGGCTGGAAAGAAAAATAGAAAAGCTAAATGAGCAAACTACCAAACCTTGAATTTCACTGCAGGAACTCCTGTTTGCCGTTTGAAAAATCTAACCTTAGCTACAGCAGCAGCTTCTATCAGTCAGCATAAACCTTATCTGGTCTCTCCACTGGGCTTTAAAACAACTGGTCATAGAAACTTTTACCCAGAGTAGCACCAGTCTCTTATTAGATGTCCCCTTGGTCTGCACAGAATGGCATGTTGGATAAAGAATTGGAGGCACAGAGTTGGTGGAGCTGGGAGAGAGCCATAGTTGGAGGATGGAGTTTAATAAGTTGATCCTGAATAAGCATATTGAGTGGATGGTGAAGGAAACAGGGGCATTCAAGTTGTAACTTGCACACATCTTGTCCATGTGGGTGGTCAAACTTCACAAATACTGAATACCTGTAAAAGCAGAACAAAGGAGTAATACTTGTGGGCTTTTACTTGATGTGTTTAGAAATTGGTAATGTGTTTTGGTTCATAGAGTCCCATTCTTCCTGGAATCAAATATACATTTCTTGGTGTAGAGTTAGCATAAGGGAAGCTTCCTCCACTTGGAGCTGTATATACATTGTCTGTTGCCATATGGGTGTCAAACTCATTTAACCCCATGGACCATGTGAAAAGCACCGGGCTGCTCTATGCCCTCTGGTCTGGTGTGCTACATTTGCAGGCTGGCTCCACAGGCCAGATGTGACCTGCAGGCCACAACTTTGACACATCTGTCAGATTCACCAGCTGTTTTGCATGTCACTAGATCTTCCTCATTCTCAAACATTTGTTAGCAGCCCACAGTTGTCTGAAATTGCTGCTCATAAGAACAAAATCCCTTCTGATTAGTGATCCAGGACAGTGTTGATGGGCAGTGAAGTTGGTTTATAATATCTTTGACTGTCTCAGTCCGGAGATAAGTGACACATGCCTATGATTTATTTAACTTCTGGAAAAACAGTATCTGTTACCTGACTGCAGTATAAGCAATGTCTTGGCATGTATCTGCTTGGAGTTATGCAGCCGAAACAGTCATTTGTAGGGAAGGGGGCAGGAGAGGGGGAAGCAAGCTTAATTAAAAAACAAACAAACCGAAAAACAAAACAACAGAATCCTTATTCTAGTGCCATGGGGTGTGCAAAAGAGTGGTAAAACCTAGTTAGTTGATGCTTGTTGCTGCAAAAGGCTAGTTAATCACTGTTTCTCTTTCCCATCTGTGAGGTATTTGTTAACTGTATAGTATCATCTGACCAGAGAAAAAGCTTTCCCAACTGCCATGTGACAAGCTAGTTCCTTCCCCTGCCACCTGTGGGTGGTCATCAGTTATAGCTTACTAATTTAATTAGCTTACACGGAAACTCTTGTCTCGTAACAAAAGCATTGTGGGGGGAAGTCCTGCTGAGCTACTTCCCTTGGGAGTTTCTAGCATTCATTAGTTCCC